AGAACTTATAGCCAGGATATATATTAATAAATAACTTTTACAATTCAATAAAAAGACAAACAACTGTGCAGAAAGTAATAACACAGCAAGCCTGAGATTACTATCCTTAATAAGGCCTGAATTCAAAGTTGGCCCTTGGCTGGCACCTGGGAATTTGACTCAAACTGTTCCTAGTCAACAGTTAACTGATTAGAAGGGTGGTACACTGTGCCTAGACTGTTTGTGCAAATAATGTGATTTATAATGAATACCTGCATTCCTTCTGGGAGTCTGGAATTTTGGTATGTGCTAGGCATAAGGTATCTATGTGACCAGTCTCCAACAAAAACCTTTGGCATCAGTGTCTAATGAACTTCCCTGGGCAAAAACACTGTTTGTGTATTGCCACATTTTCACTGCTGGGGAAAACAGTGCACTCTGTGTGACCCCTCATGTGAGGGAAAAGAGCATAAGGAAGCCTACCCATGGATTCCTCCAGACTCCACCTTCTCCCTTGTGATCCAGGTGTGTATACTTAATATACTGCTGTAGCAAATCTTAGCCCTGAGTACAACCACATGCCAAGTTCCATTAAGTCCTTCAGCAAATCTGTGAATGTGGAGGCAGTCTTGGAGGCCAAAAAAAGAAAACGATTTTAATTGGCAACTCAAGAAAGATGTGCAAATGGTCAATAAGAACATAAACAGATGCTCAACATCAACAGTCATTAAGAAAATGCAAATTAAAAGTACAATGAGATTCCACTACATACGCATAGGAATGGCTAAAATTATGAAGACTAATCACACAAAGTGTTGACGGATGTGAAGAAACTAGAACTCTCGTACACTACTAGCTGGTATGTAAAACGGTACAATCACTTTTAGGAAATAGTTTGACAGTTTCTGGAAAAGTTAAATGTATACTTAGCCTATGACCCAACCAGTACACTCCTAGGTATTTACCCAAGAGAAAAGTTACCACACAAAGACTTGTACGAAAACATTAATAGTAGTTTCACTTACAAAGCTGGGGATAACTCAAATTCCCATCAACCAGTCAAAGGGCAAACAAATTGTGTTTTATCCATACAATGGAATTCTAATCAAGAATAGAAAGGAACATAGAGGACGGGTGTGGTGGCTCACGCTGGTAATCTTAGCACTCTGGGAGGCCAAGGCCGGAGGATCACTTGAAGTCCGGAGTTTGAGACCGGCTTGAGCAAGAACAAGACCCCATCTCTACTAAAAAACAGAAAAAACTAGCCGGGCAACTAAAAACAGAAAAAATTAGCTGAGCTAAGTGGCATGCACCTGTATCCCAGCTACTCAGGAGGCTGAGGCAGGAGGATCAATCACTCGCGCCCAGGAGTTTGAGGTTGCTGTGAGCTA